TTGATCTACCCGGTTTATTGCTTGGAGTCCTCCCACTGAATCAAATCCTCCAAATCTGAGGTCTAAATTAACCTGAATACTATATCTTCTGGCAGACTACAGATTAAAGTCCATAAGTTATCAGCAYGGTTCACATGGCAAGATTTAAAATTGTCAGCTTATTTTCAAAGCCTGAGAAACAAACACACGACGATAAAAAAAATCATATAACAAAGTTTAGACCTGACTGTTGCTTRGGCCTATRTGCCTAACAGCAGTTCAGATTACCTACCCTTTTTAGAGTCCTTGGAGGGGGTGCTGGRGAGCGCTCCTAACGGGGACTCCCTCGTTCTGCTTGGGGGACTTCAACGTTCACGTGGGTAATGACAGTGAGACCTGGAGGGGCATGGTTGGAGGAACGCCCCMCACTGATCTGAACCCAAGYGRTGTTTTATTATTGGATTTCTGTGCTCGTCATGGTTTGTCCATTACAAACACCATGTTCAAGCATAAGGGTGTCCACATGTGCTCTYGGCACCAGGACACCCTAGGCCGCAGTTCGATGTTCAACTTTGCTGTCATTTCATCTGATCTGCGGCCGCATGTCTTGGACACTCAGGTGAAGAGGGGGCGGAGCTGTCAACTGACCACTACCTGGTGGTGAGTTGGCTCCGTTGGTGGGGGAGGACTTCTGTCAGACCTGGCAGACCCAAATGTGTAGTGATGGTCTGCTGGTAACGTCTGTCAGAGTCTCCTGTCAGACGGAGCTTCAACTCACACCTCTGGGATAACTTTGAACATGTTCCGGGGGAGGTGTGGGACATTGAGTCTGAGTGGGCCATGTTCCGTGCCTCCGGTGGTGAGGGATGCTGTCAGGCTGAAGAAGGAGTCCTATCGGGTCTTTTTGGCCTGTGGGACTCTGGAAGCAGCCGATGGTATCGGCAGTCGAAACGAATTTCACCCGGAGTTCCTTAAGGCTCTGGTTGTTGTGGGGTTGCGTTGGTTGACGCGACTCTACAATATCGTGCTGATATCGGGGGAGGTTCCCCTGGATTGGCAGATCGTGATCTTCAGCTCTCACTGGAGCGGTTCGCAGCCGAGTGTGAAGCAGCCGGGATGAGGATCAGTGCCTCCAAATCCAAGACCATGGTCTTGAGCTGGAAAATGATAGGGTGCCTTTTCTGGGTCGGGGAGTAGGTCCTGCCCCAAGTGGAGGAGTTTAAGTATCTCAGGGTCTTGTTCATGAATGAGGGAAGAATGGAGCGGGAGATCAACAGGCAGATTGGTGCTGCATCTACTGTGAAGCGGGCACTGTACTGGTCTGTCATGGTTGAAGCGGCAGCTGAGCCAGAAGGTGAAGCTCTCGGTTTACCAGTCTGTCTACGTTCCTACCCTCAACTATGGTCACGAGCTTTGGGTAGTGACCGAAAGAACGAGATCACGGATACAAGCGGCTGAAATGAATTTCCTCTGCAGGGTGTCTGGGCTCTCCCTTAGGAGATAGGGTGAGAAGCTCAGTCATCCAGGAGGGACTCAGAGTAGAGCCGCTGCGCCTCCACGTCGAGAGGAGTCAGTTGAGGTGGCCCGAGCAACTGGCTAGGATGCCTCCTGGACGCCTCCCTGGTGAGGTGTTCCGGGCAAGTCCCACTGGGAGGAGGCCCAGAGGAAGACCAAGGACACGCTGGAGGGACTGTGTTTCTGGGCAGGCCTGGGAACGCCTTGGGATTCCCCCAGAGGAGCTGGCCTAAGTGGCTGGGGAGAGGGAAGTCTGGGTCTCTCTGCTTAGACTGCTGCCCCTGCGACCCGACCCCGGATAAGAGGAATAAAATGGATGGACGGATGGRCAACAAGTTTAGTCCTACAGTGTGTGGTGGAAAAGAAAACCCACCAACCAAATTCACTCACAAACAATTAGACACCAGGTGGGAAATTTTAGAAGACCTCTGGAGATCAAACGTGAGTTTAGAGTAAATAAACATGGCCGATGTGGAAGAAGCCATGGTGATTGTTTGTGGACTATATTAACAGAGAAAAAACAAAGTAAAAATATGTCTCTGACATCCACCAGAATTTGTTTCTGTATTTGTCTTCCCCTCTATGTTTCTGTCACCTCACTTTCTGATTGGCTACACGTCACATTCAACAGGCTGCTCTGGGAACACCACACACATTGGGATATTGGGCCAGGATAATACAACAAGTTGAAAATCCTTGATTTGAAGTTGGAACGGCCCCAACATCAGAATTATCTTGCTATTGATCCCACTGAAAAAAACAGCAGAATCATTGGAAATGCTTCAGACTCACATGGGTTAACTCACTGGATATGTCATGGAGTCAGGTCCCTGTCCATGAATGCCCCTGCATCAAGAGAGTCGTAGCCTGGCCATTGGCCTATGCAGTTCCACTSTGTTCTAATCTTCCTTCACAGCYCTGTCTGGGATTTCTCCCATTAACGTGGATTTCTCCCGTAGAATTTCAACAGGGCCAATCAGCAAACAGAGGGAGGAGTTGTGAACAACAACATCCATTTTCTTTCCTGTTTTATTCTGCCTGTAGTTTTGCAATGGCAACCGAGGAAGTTAATGAAGCGATTCAGTTTGTGTTGACAGGTTTCCAAATTAAATTAAATTTGTCTCGCAAAGCTGCAGCATCATTTACAGCCATCTCTTTCAGCTGGGAACTTCTCTCTTCCCAGTAGGGGATGCTTGTTTACAGTGCACACAGTTTCCAGTTAGCTTATCTGCTTAGTTTCATTCACGTTTGAGTTGGCGCACTGCATATGTCGTGGCCAAACATTAGYGATTGGGTAAAATCAGGTCCAATTGTTTAAAATCTCTTCCAGCAAAAAATTGCTTCTCATTAGCCRATGGTCCAGACCATCTGTACGAAGCAAAGGGCTGGTTTTTACCAGGCTAGGTGAGTCGGGTCACTGTTTTGAATTGATAGATACCCGCAAGCCAGTGGTGGGACAAACAGATTTTTAGAAATTAGTGGAAGCTAACGCTAACAGATTAGATGACTATCACTCAGATTGTGTCCTTTAGTGCAGAGTTGTGTTTGTGTTTTTGCCGACTTACCTTTGCAGGTCTGGAGTGACATGGGCGGAGCCTCCAATYACTCATCTGCGCTGACTCCTGGTTGATGATCTTTGGGGATACCTAAGCATCTGAGAGATATCCAGTTCTCGCTGAATCATTCGGTCATTCTGGTAATGAGAGAAACAGAATCTAGTCATTTTCTTGACTTTCTCCTGAGTAACGTTGTGTATTTTACCCTCCTCTGTGTCCCCAAATAAACCATTATTGTTGTGTGACCCACCTGAGTTCAAGTTCTGGATCATGGATGACCATCTCTCTGGTTGATGACTCTTCAACCTCCTCTCTGACCATCTGTCCTGCTCCATCCTGCCACTCTCACATACCTGGAAACAGATCTGTCTTTGGTAAAGTCTCTCATGATCGTGTGATACTCACATCTTGGACTCCTTTGACCTCCTCCTCAGAGTCTGCCTCCACGACGAAACCTGTAAGAAAAGATTCTACATTTAAAAATCATCTTGGACCTCCTGAAGACTCTACTAACCAGCCCCCCTTTCCTTTCACGATGCTGTTCCCTCCATCACTCACCTGTAAATTAAACACTTTTTACTCCAAGTCTTGTGTCGCTATCAGTTCAGCCTGTATTTGGGTACCTCTTTTGTAGTTCATAACACCTTCCAGTTTAAGACTGGTGGACTGACACAAGCGTGTTGTTAGTTTTCTATTGGTTTAATTTGAAGGTGGGCAAATCGACCAATCCAAATCAAAGTTATAGCTCTGTCTAACTTGCGTTAATTCCATTTTAACCCCTTCAGAATAAAAGCTCTTGATTGAGTTTGCAAATTTTAATAAGTACTGTTTGAAGTTAGTCAAACAACAAGTAACAAATACTTTCTATATGTAGTCATTTTTTGTATTTGTTATTTAAATAGTGCAAAATGTTATTTTATTTTGTTTGAATGATCTTAATTTGGAGTTTAGCTGCTAAAGATGCTACATGCTACACACGTATTGCCTGACACATCCAGTACTGCTTAAAAGAGGGGGTTAAGTTTRTTTAATTTGGGGTAAATTGTATAAAAATAGAAGCTTTAAACTTTAAAAAATTTTTGGTGGACTTGAAATTAGCATAACCCAATTTAAAGGGGAGCTCATCAGTACGCTAACGGTTTCCAAAGTTAGCAAAAAATRTGAAGCTATCGTTATTAGTGGATAAGTGTAACTGTGCCACCACTGAAAACAATTGTTATATAACCTGCTTCTCTGGGTTAATGAATAACGGGAAATGCTACAGATTCCAGTGACATTAATGCACAACAGTTTAACAGTTTGGTAGATTGTTTTTAAATTTTATTTAGACAGCTTAAGTTTATGTTCCATCATTTTTAAAGTGTTGTGATTAGTGTGAAATAATAMAATKAAAATACTTATWTTCTRTATTTATGGAGCCTGGTAGTGACATTGGTAAAAATGAAATTAGTGGCCATGAAATAATTTTTATCTTGTGATGCATTCATTTTATCTAATTTATCCAACACTCAGATGGGCTCCACACATATCAACCACATATCAACCACGATGTATAATATATATTTATGGTAGGATGACTGAAATGACTCAAGTGAACTTGGTTACTTTAGTGTTTGACTCGGATTAACCTGATTCCATAAAATGAACTTGTTTAACCAGCTCTTGTGAAAACTGCACCAATAAACTTTAAAAAGAAACTTTTGTCTGTTTGTGTAATATTAAAAAATGTTTTGGCCACAAAAAAGCAACACTGTTCTTACTTTTATTACAGAAAAGTAAAAACACAACTCGCTGTTTTTTTTTTTTAATTTTTTTTTTCCCACTTGTTCAGTCTGTGTTTGAACACATTTGGGACAGTCTTATTAATTAGAATAGAACAAAGAAAAGAAAAAGCTTAGTAAGAAGTCTCTTCCTGCAGGTGTAAGGACTCTTTGGTGACGCATRCTGCCACCAGGGAGTGTTTTTGATGAATTGGGGGCTCTCTCGGAGCGCATCCGATGTGCGCACCTGCGTCAAAGAGACCATCAGCGTCCGCGGAGAGGAGAGGAGAGCAGAGGAGACCCAGCCTGTCTGTCTGAAAAACGGCCACCAAGGAAGGGAAACAGCCGCTTTGAGCCATATAACCGAGTGGATTAGTGAGAATGAGTGGGTCTGAGAATCTGCGGGGCTCCTGCAGACACTGACCGTCTCCATCCTCTGACACAGATCAACTTGTTGTCCTCAGAGAAACATGAGTGTCCTGGTCTCTGTCTTCCTCCTGGCTGTCCTGTTCACTTGGTGAGTGGCGCAGATTAGCACTCAGTGTGCCTTTTATTCTCACGGTGTTGTCAAAGTTTGTGTGTAAGTTTCCACTCCTTTCTTCTCCTTCAGCACTTTAATGATGGAGCATGARGAAGACTATGAGGACGTCACTGTGAACCAAATGCTGGCTCCTAAATCCCAGGAAACCGAYGCCACGGAAATACTTAATAATTTACTTAAAGAATATGACAAGAAGCTGAGACCAGATATTGGAGGTGAGGCCGTCTCTGCAAACATTTACACTACAAATTAAACCCCATTTAACATAAATGTTAGATCATTTTCACTGAGCAGAGTAAAAGCTGTGGATTGACTTGATTTTATCATGTGATAAAATGTGCAGTAGCAGTTTCAGCTACAGCTGATTGTTTCATATTTAGTAAAACAATTGATGATAAAATGCAGTTAATATAAGCTATGAAAGGTTAATGTGTTTTTTACTGTTTTATTTTGTTGTAGGTTTTATTAACCTTGTGAAGCACTTATAAATAAATAAAACTGACATAAATTTGACGTTAACATTGAAATATAAATCAGCCTAAAATCAGTCACATGTCATAAAATAATCACCCAAGTAATTTCGTTCATGTTTTTCTGGAAACTAAAAATGTTACCAAAAATGTAC